AGAGGCAACCACAAGTGCAAAGTCCTGGAGGCAGGACAGTGTGTGAAGTGCACAGCACATGGAGGCTGCTATGAACAGTGAAACTGAAGAGGAGTTAGGTGGGACCTAGCTTGTAAGGTACCTGGATACCAGGATGCAGGGTTTATTTAGACGGAAGAATGGAATGCATTTGAATCAGAATATGTGCTGTCATAAGAGATGGGAAGCTAAGGAAGGTGTTTAAGCAGCAGCAGGATGTGATCTGACCTATATATTGGAAGGGTATTTCTATAATAGAAAGAATCCAAAGGGGGAAATTAATTGTAGAAAGGCCGGGATAACAAGAGTGAGTCTATAGCCTGTCCACTGAGCCATAGGCAGGCTTCCATTTACTACTAAAATTCCTGCCAATTTTTAAAAAATCCTCATCACTGACTCCCCTCCCTTGACCCTACAACTTGCTTTTAAATTAACCTTTTGACACCATTTTCTGGAGAATGAATCGTGGTCCCATGAGAATTAACACTTGGGCCCTTCTTGCCTGGTAGACACTCAGAGCTTCAAACCCATTGCAAGTGCAAACCATGCAAGATGCCATAAATGAGGTTTGCAATATGCAGGGGAGGCAGTAAGCTCTCCTGGAGGGGCCTTTTTTTTTTTTTTTTAATTAAAAAAATTATTTTTACATCATTTTTCACATTTTTTTTTTTTTTAGCCTTGCCTTCAGCTGAAGAGATAAGAACCGAAACTGCAGCTACAGGAAATGACAAAGCAGTGACTGATCGGGGAGTGCACAGGGCTCATTATGGGGCTTGCCAGCGGGTGAGACACCCTTATCAAGGAGAAAATTGCATCAAGCCTCCCGAATTACTAGCGATTGGAAGCAGATTTCTTGGGACGCACTTTGTTAGATACCTAATGAACGGGATACAGGCAGGCAGAGCCCAAAGCCAGCGGGGCGGGGGACAAATGTCTTTGTTAAACAGAATTTGTCAGTTTCCGCTCCAGGCTCCCTGGGGAGGGTTCAGGGCCAGCTAATTGAATTAAGGGCTTGTGCGCTCCGGCTAGAAGGCTCAGGGCGGGGCAAGAGGCAAGCGGCCTGGAAGGCGGGTAGTTTCAGCACCAAGGACAGCAGCTGCAGCCTGGCCAGTCTGTAATTGCCTGGGAAGACTGAAACTGTTGCATTTTGCATGGTCAGGGATCTAGGGGATGGAGTGAGCAGCAGGGAGTCAAAGGATCTTGGGGGGAGAGAGGGAGAAACAGGTGACTCGAGAAGCCTAGAGCCTGTGATGTTATTGGCCTGTTCTGTCTCAGCCGACTATCCTCTGCAGGCAACAGTGAGGAATGAGAGGCTTAAGGAAAGACTGTCTTCTCCCCACGATGGCACTCAGGTTGCATGGGGCAGCTCTGGCAGCAAAAGAAGTGGTGGGCCGAGCACCAAGTCTGAGCCAGTGCATGACCATGCATCACTTTGAGCTCTCAAAGTCAGTCTCCAATTATAGCACTAATGAAGCGGGACATGCCGCAACCACGGATCCACAGAGAGAGGCCACTTGTCAGCCACAAGCTTTCTCAGTAGGCAGGGCAGAGTCTTTTAGATTGAAAAGCAAGTAATCAGACTTGTGAGGCAAACCAGCAGCCCCCACTCTCACATGGAAGAAAAAGGGGGGGCAAGGCAGGGCTGGGCTTGCACAGGGAGGAGTTAACCTCCAAGACTCCTCTCTCCACATTCCCATTTTGACATTGCCACCCACTCCCATCCGTGACCATCATACTTCCAGCAGCCTGACCCCTCAGTAGCCTCAGACAAATGTCCCATGAGGAGTAAGGAGGAGAGGGCACAACTCCCCTCTCCAAAACATGGGTAGATTAACGTTAGAGAGACAGAATTGGCAGTAAAGACAGGGAACTATTAGCAATGATTTAGGCACTGTATGATCACTAGATTTCCCTTATCAGATGTGACTAAAACAACTGCCTCTCACCTTCCCTGGGGGCCTAGAGATTTTTCTATAAAACTCCCCCATCCACCTTGCCTCCAAACCCCAGGCCAGGATGGACCCTGACAAATATGATTGGAGCAGGGGATTGGAAATACAGAGGAGAACTGTAAGGATGGGGGTTTGGGTGGGAGAGCAATGGCATGAAGAAGCTATGGGAGTTGGTAGGGACCAGGGCCAGCCGGGAGAGGGCAGAGTAGAATCATTAAGTCTAGCAAGGGCTAGAAGAACAGCCCCGGTCAGACCCTGGTGGGATGGGTAGGCCAGACTGAAATCCATAGTTTCTCTGCTTTTCCTTTCCTCCTCCTAGGGATACTCCTCTACCTGTCCCCCCCCCCCCCCAGAGACTTGTGGGTGAAGGTCCTGGTCTGGACTGAGGGGGTCAGTCTCACTTTTACCTTTTTCTAAAGCCATTTCTTTTACTTTTTTTAAAGATTTTATTTATGCATACAGAACTGGGGTACAGGTCAGAGGTGCAGGGATAGTGAGAGGACTCACCAGAGACAGAGTGGGGAGCAGAACAGGCAGATGAACGAAATACACTGCTGAGAGGAGCAGCGGGCGGGTCAGGAGAGGTCTGCCACGCCATGTGGGTCAGCTCCTGATCTGGGGATCAAACTCGCACTGAGGTAACCACTGCCAGCTTCCTGGTACTGCACTCCAACCTGCTGCACCACCAGGGAGAGCCCACTTACACTTTTTCTTTAAGATGAAATTAAATGAATTTTATATAATAAATTTCTGAATCCACGTAAAAGTACCTGGGAGTCCAGTAAATGTTGACCCATGCCTGGTAGATGGCATGGAGGCAGGATGTGGGGGAGGAGCTCCCCCAGACATGTGTCCCTGTTTTCAGAACTGATGGGGCACCTCTGGAGACCTCGCCCTTGATCTGATTACTTCTACTTCCTCCCCTAACTGGATTAGATGGCAGTCTATGAAATCCAGGGCACAGAGATTGGCTTTCTGCCTGGAAATGAGCAGAAATGTCATTACAGGTCCTGAATCAGCATCTCACCCCAGCCCCAGGGGCCACCTGGTCAAGGGGGAATCAGTCGTTGCCTTGGTTAATTGTTCCTCCTCTTATTTTGTTGCATCCATATACACCTACCCATGCAGTTTTCTTACTGATGTCCCACCAGGAGACAGATGTGGTGCTTTTTCTATCTAAAACACCAGACGACTTGAACCATCTAACTCAGATATTACACAGAAACAGTGGACATTTCAGGGGGACTCTCTAGGTGAATTTTGCCCTCCCCGATCCAGAGCTGTGGAGAGCCAGGCCTAATGTCCCATGACAAAACAGGTCTAGAAGTCTTGGAGCAAGAGCAGCCTCAGGGTCACCTAGTGCTTCACTTTCCCATTTCAGCAGTCCTCATATTGCTGCTTCCTCTCTGAACTTCCTACCCCTATGTCCATCTGACAAGGGGGATGAGGCTGACTGGACTGGACATTTCTGTACTTGTATGACTCTTGACACGAGTCAGTTTATTAACTTCATGTTAGTCAATTCCTAGACACCAATTTTTATTTCTAAAAGGCACAAAGGAATCATTATGTCAGAGGGCCCGGTAGTTAAGTGCAGGGTGCTCTCCCAGCTTATCTGGTCCATATGTGTGGGTTTTCACACTGACTGCCCTCTTAAAGACAGAGGCATGGGCCCTCCCTGGTGTTGCAGTGGGTTAGGATGCAGTACTGCAAGCTAACTGCAGCCATTTCAGTGTGAATTTGATTCCCAGCCCCAGAGTTGACCCACATGCAAGGCAGACCTCTCCTATCTTGCCTGCTGCTCCCCTCAACAGTGTTATTTCATCAGTCAGCCTGTTCTGCTCTCTATTCTGTCTCTGGTGAATCCTTTCACTACCTCTGTGCCTCTGTCCTATACCCCAGTTCTATATGCATAAAGGAATAAATCCACCTGCACTCATCCTCACTCTGTTCAAGGGCAGACATTTAGTCAGGCACTTTATCCCCAGTACACCTGTCCTGGCTGGCACCTGCCCGTTGCTCTGTTTGCTCCAACTCCAACATTCTAAACAGTGAAGTGTCTGCTTTGAGGCCATGAGGATTCCAACAGCTGATCTAAGGTGGAAACACCATCGAGGTTCTTACAAACCCCGAGACTGCATGATTCTTTGAATAATGGGCACCTTTTAGGGCTAACTATGGATTTTCAACAGAGCCTTAAAGTAACTTCAATGGGAGCTCAAGAAAATCCCTAAGCCTGAGGAACTCAAAGTCTGGCAGGAAAACAAAAACGGCAGGAAAGCCTGGAATTAGAGAAGCATGTGAGGGCAGTAAGAATCAGCTGCTAGGCTGGAAGAGCTCTGAAAAGCTGCAGATATGGGTGAACACCAGCAAGGCTTCCTAGAGGGGCTGGGATTTCAGTGGGATTGCATGCAAGACCAGCAGAGTGTGATGGCCATGCCAAGACAAGGAGAGGAACATAGGAAAAAGGACACGAAAGGAGAAAGAGGCCCAGCAGGCTAGAGAAAAAGGAGGTCTTAATGGGTGCCGAGAGAATGACAGAGAAGATGGAATGCAAAGTAAGTCTACACTGCAAGGGGTATCAGAGAAGCTTGGAGAATTTAGACACTGTTACACACCGAGTGTGGGAGTCCTAGATGACATAGCATTTTCTGTCAGTAAATACTGAGCACCCCCACAAGGTAGAAACAAGTTACATGTAACTTAGGGGTTGGGGTGTCAGAGAAGGGAGACAACAGTAAACAGGTAAACACATTTCTTTGAAAGTTAGTTGTCTAGTTGAATTAGCACTATGAATACAGTCAAATGGACACTGTGAACAGGGAATATAGTGGAGGAAGTTACTTTAGCTAGGCTGGGCCTCTATTTCAGAGAGTGGGGGTTCTCTAAGAAGATCACATCTGTGGGGACAGTGGCGGGAGGTGGGTGGGCCAGGCAGGCAGGGCTCCTGAGTCATGACAAGCTGGGGCTGTGGAAGCTGTGCCCATGATACACAGGCACAGAGGCATTTCTCTGCACCTTCTCTTCCAGAGGCCAGAGAACTTCTTAACACCAGACAATAGCAAGGCTCTGCCCATCCTGGACCCCAAGATCTTAGATGAGAAGCTGGGTAGCATCCGTGAGTCCTGGTCTAAGAACACAGCAAACTCCACAATCTCTCAGGAGACGGAAGACGATACTCAGGCACCAGAGAAGTCCCGTGAAACCGTGAGTGTCTCCCCAGGAGGGCATGGGCGAGAGGGCTGGGCTGCCACCCATGGGTCTGGTCCACTCATCAGGTGGCAAGTAGACCTCCCCTGAGTCACCCCAAAGTTATACTGGTACAAGGTGCAGATTCTCCATTTCACAGTTTCTTCACCTTTTGAATAAAACTCCCGCATGGCTTCTTTCAAAACAAACTCCCACACCCCTTGTTAGCTGGGGTTTCCTGACTCAGGTGGCCATCAACTCGGAGCATCCCCGTGGGGGTCAGGGGAGCCCCCTAGGACATCACTTCCAAGAAAGGAAAGGGGGATGGAGGAAAACACGCCATCTTTAGCCAAAGCGTCTGTCCTTGATCGTGGGAGTTGGTGTGTCTCCTTGTTGTGCGTAAGCAAACTGCGAAAGGGCCAATGTGGATGACCAAGGTGGCATCTTAATCTGTGAGCGGCCGGTGCTGTGTCCCAGCCTCTTGACTCAGAGACCTAACGAACAGGCACTGAAAGAACAGTCCAGTCAAAGTCCCCAATTGAAGTGCTGCCCCGGAACCCTGGTAATTTCCTCCATTCATCCACAGCGAATCCCATGGGGAACGCTGCTCTGGAAGGCGATGAGAAAAGGCCCCAGAAAAGGCTGCAGGCTCAGAAGGAAGCCCAGGGCTTCCTCCTCACAGGACCTGCCGCTCTCCACTGACAGCCTCCTCATCTTCCCCTGGCACTTCTGCACGTTTCTGGAACATGTCCCACAGGACGATTAGGAAGGGTCTCTGTCTTCTGGATGTGCCCCGGGGTGTCCCACAGGCCCCCTGCCCACCCTGGAGCAGGGCCCTCCGTCAAGGGCCAGGGCTCCCAGGGCTCACCCTCTCCCCTCCTGCACTCACCTTCGGCCCTGGGCAAGCAGCTTTCCTGTGTGACGTGCTAGCTGTGCCATCACTGGTGCAGAAAATAAAGATTCTGATTCAAACTTGTCTTTGGAGACTTTGGGAAGCATGACCAATTCAGCACCTGATGCCTCAACAGCCTGACCAACGTGACACCTCTTCGCGTGCATCTAAACAGAGGTGGTGAGGGGGAGAAAGGAGGAGGCCAAAGGCCAGAGGTGGAAGGAAAAGGGAAGGCACCATGCAAGGGGAAAGGCAGACAGGGAGGGAGGAGGAAGGCGTTGACCTCCCCCGCTCTCCCCACAAGCCTGCAGAGAGCTCAGAACAACTCTATAGTCTACTGAAATGCAGGATGATCTGATAGCTGTTTCAATACTATATATTATATAAGTTTAATATCTGCAAGGATGTTAGAACAACACAGGCAGTGTGGTCAGTCAGTCTGATCTCATAATGATTCAACCAGAGATGGGATGAGGCTGAGCTAGCCCTTGGGAAGAACTGTTTGAGAATAAGTAACCATTGTGAGTGACAGAGGGTTGGAGGAGAAATAAGGCGCTTGAGTGTACATAGGCAGGGTCCTCTGGAGGAGGAAAAGAACTCAAGGTCACCCCACCCCTATCAGACACTTGGCTGGTGCAGTCTCCATGGAAAAACAGCTCAAGCCTGCCCCCCCCAGTCCTCCCACCAGTGCCTGGTCCCGCCAACTGTCCCCTTGCGAGACCCCTGGCGAGGCCACAAGCGGGACCTGTTCTCCCTTGTTGGCTTTCAGCTTAGATCCACTCAGCCACCAGCATCCAGCCCTTGAGCTAAGAGCACACTGGCTTCCTCGTCTCTGGGCTCCAGGGCCATCTCCAGGATGACCCCTTGCCAAGGTTTCCTGATTATACTGTTCCAGGTTGCCTCGCATATAGCCAAGTGAACACCAGCCCTGCACCCTTCAGCCACCTTGACACCACTTAGTATTCAGAGCAGTGAGCCTGCCTCACTGTGTTGCCCAGCCCAGCCCGTGCCAAGCCCTTCCTGCTGCCTCCTTGTCCCACTCTCTTAGCTTTTTTTCATTTACCCTTCACCCCTGCCTTCTGTCCTCCAACTCCCATTCTTCCTTCCCTCCCTGTACAGCTCCCTCCCTCCCTCCCCCCCCCCCCCCCCAACCCCCCCCCCCCACCACTACCACCACCTTTCTCTTGGCTCAGAACTATCATTCTAGCTATTCCCACCTCTATATTTTGCCCTAGTTGAAAGCCAGCTCCCAGCTCCAGCTCCCACCCCCTAGCGGTGTCCAGAAGGGCCAGAGCAGGACCTACATGCACGTGACCACAGAGCCCTGTCACAGCCATGGAACGCGGGTGGCTAGCAACAGTGTCAACTCATTGGCAGTCACCAGTAGCCATGTAGCCATAGGTCACCACTCCATAGCAACCAAACACAATTACATAGCAATGGATGACCTCCCGCCACCAGGAGACACAGTGACAAACAACAGAAACGGCCGTGGAGCAGGAGTGCATAGCAATAGGCCCGAGTGCACTGTGCTGTCGCTCACGCCGTGTACAGAAGGCACCATCCTGGAGCATGGCAACGAGCAGTCCCTGACAGTGGGAGGACCCTCACTGGCATGAGAGCACATGGGGGAGCCGCCGCCATCAGTGTCCAGTAGCAGAGCCTGGAGGAGCAGGCGGGGTCCAGGGGCCCACGTAGTCCTGTCGGGCACACGCCGTTAACCAGCCCCCTCCACTCTTGGCCACTGTGTCCCACGTGTAACACTCATGATCACCCGATGCTCGAGTGTGTGTGTCCCGTCTAGCCTTCTAGCACACTCCCCAGAGCCCCAGAAACAATTTGCCTCTGATTCCCTTTAGAATCTATTTTGTCTTAATAGGAAATTGAATCTTTTCTCTCAAAGAGCACTTTGGGACTGGAGAAGGGACTGGAGGGGACACTGGGTTGTGCCCTCTCTGAGGCAGCATGCCACAGGTGCTCTTGGCTGCAGGGTCCTGCCAACCCTACCCCCGCCATGAGGGCGCCCTCCCCCCACCCCACCCCACCTGTCATGTGCCCTGGGACTCACCTTCCTGCCTGGGCTGCAGTCCAGCCAGCTCTTCTGTCCCAGGCTCCCTTTGTCTTGGACACTGGGACTGACACAGACCATGCCAGTGGCATTCTATCAACTGTGGTACAAAACTCTGGTCCCAAGCAGACCGCTGGGCTCAGGGGCCATGGCTGTGATCTTGAGTAAAGTGCGATGCCTGGACAGAGCAAGAGAAAGCCTTCACCTCCCTTCTGAGAGCCAAGAAGTCTTTTTTTGGAAGAAGTGGGCTTTTAATTGTGAAGGGTAAGATTTTTTTTTTAATAATAGTTTATTTTTACATCATTTTGTGCATTTTTCCATCTCAGTTGTAATCCCCTTGGGCTTGTGAAGGGTGAGATTTTAAGAGTCATCCTGAACACAGGGACCCTCCAAACAGTAAAACCTATAAGCATCCCCCCAGATCCCTTGAGCCCACCTTAAGCCTCTGCCAGGTGCCCATCAGTGCAGAGGGCAGGGTGAGGGAAGGAAACCCTGGGCCCTGAACTCTGGAAGTGTCCCCCCGCCCCCCACCATTGGAGCAGGCCACAGCCAAAGAGCACATTAGTGACACAAAGAAGGCACACAAAAAATATTTGATGAAGGACAAAAGGGCATGGTCAAGACAAGTTACCTGCCTAAGTGCCACAATTAGCCAAATGCTGGCACACCTCAGAGCCCTCAGTAAGTGAGAGAGAAAAAGATGGGGGGGAGAAAGAAGCAAGGAAGGCTCCCTGGAGGTGGTGGGCTGTGCTTTGAATAAAGAGGCAGAGGTTCTCAGTTGAAGTATGTGTGCAATGTATCCAGTGTGGAAATACAAATGCAAACAGAAGGGACCCCTTCTGTTTGTCGAGCTCCCCCCCCCACTCTTCTCTCTCCTCTCTCCTCCCCCCCCCCATTTTCTTCCCTCTCTTCTTCCCTCCCTCCTTCTCTTCTCTGCTCAGAGATTTGTGGCAGACCAGAGGGCCCTCATACCAGGAAATGAATAATTGACAAAGGTTGTTTAAAGATTCAGTGTTTTTCCAACCTCGCCACACTGGAATAACTCACTTCTTTCATTTGCTCTTTGAAAGCCTCTCCCCCTCCTTCCAGCCCCCCTCTTCCCACCCCCATGTCCCCACCCCCTTCTGAGCATAAGCTTTGCTCTCGCTCCTTTCTTGAGTCTCTGGACCCCAGAATGCTCCTCTGATCCCTCACATGACTTCAGCCCGCTCCCCCAGCTGTCCTCCACTCCATCTAACCTGCTCGAAAGGATGGAAGGTTAACTGCTACTCTTTTGGATACCCTTTACCCAAGAATGGAGGCCTGGTTTCATGGGTAAGGAGAAGAGGAAGTTCACAGAAGCTGGGGTTCCTCTGAGGTCACCCAGCTGCATCGGAGGTGGGGTCTTAGACCCTGGAGGGCAGGCCTGCCTGCCAGGAGTCCCCTCCCAGGTGGTCAGTGGGCCCTGAATCTGCCGCCCCTGTCCAGGGTGGCACATAACCCATTAGCCCTGAGCCTTTTTTTTTCCACCTGCAGTCTAGGATGTGCTTCCCTGGAAGGCGAGGGGCCTTTAGAAGAGGCTGGCAGTGTAGCAAAGACTCCCGTGAGCCTAGCCCTCAGCTCTGCCTGGCGTGGCTCCAAGATGACCATCCCTCCCTGTCTGCGTGGGACCAAGTGGTCCCAGGACATAGGACTTGTGGTGCTAAATCGGAAATAGTCCCAGGCAAACTGAGAAGAGCTCTACTCGCCATGTAGCGTGATGCCTGCCCTGCGCAGCTCTGGCCCACACTGTCCTCAAACTAGCACCTGCTCCTTGACATGACCTTGACCTCCCTCTGGGCCCCACTCCTTCCTCTGTTCAAAGAGGAAATTGGAGCAGATGTTCCCAAGCCCCTCAGAGTCTTGCCCTGTCACAGGAGTCTTGGCTGTGCTCCCAGGGCCCCTCCAGGATGAAGGCTGCAGCTGCAGACCCGTGAGGCCTCAAGCCCTTGGCACCACCTGGTGGCAGGTGAAAGTCCTGAGCAGGCACCTCTGGCATAGTCACCTGAGTCCCATCTGAGAGCAGCTGGGGTCTGGAGC